AATCCATCAGAGCTCAGCTTTGTGAGCCCACTTTGCTGAACTTGTGCCGCTGAAGGAAAGCTTTCGGAACCCAAACGGTCGAATAGAGTTTCTTGGGAGTTTGAGCGCACTTGATGGTAGCTGGGAAAATGTGCGAATGCCTGTCAGCAGGAGGCCCTTGACTCAGAAACCCACACAAAAGACTCACATGGAAGAGGAGGAACGTGATTATTGTACTCTTCCGCCTCTCAAGAACTCAAATGTGAACATTTTCAGCACACCTCTTCCAGAGGATTGCTTGATCATGATGCTATATAACCTTCAAATCTCCAACTCTCTTTGCCTGTACGTGACTCTCGTTGGATCCTTTGGTCGACACCTTTTCCGGATCACCCGAGGGCTCCACCGCATCCGAATCACCCTGAGCAGCCGCGATGTGCGGGGCCACGAGTGGGCGAAGGGGGGACTCGCGCGGAGTTTCGCAGTGGGTCACGGCTTTCTTCGGAGAACACCCCGGGCAGGAGGCGACCTGGTGGGTCATTGAAGGCTGCCACCAGCTTCTTTTTGAAGGTTTACTAGACAGACCAGCAGTCACAAAGGGGTGCGATCCATGGAGGGTACGGGTGTCCAGCTACTCCACTCATTCTCCGCGACCCGCTCCAGACCACCCTACCATCGATTTTTGACAATTCCTGACGTTCGATGGAGAGCCTGGTCCTGCCTGACACGACGGCGCTTGGGACGGACCTGTCCGAAGGTCCGTGCCTTGGAGAAGGTCTGCACTGACCTGGTGAGCGGAGCTAAGGCCAAGGAGCCGACCCGACCTGGGCGATTCGGGGAGTTCTAGACCGGTGGGAGGGAAAGTATAGAAAGGGATGCATGGAGTTTCCAGGTGTTTCTGTGATGTTCTGTCTGTTTTCTTTGGAAGTACTGGTGTTTCTATGTGTTTCTTCTGTCGCTCGTGGCCGAAGCCACCGCGACGATTCTGGACATGGTCGACCATCCGATTCTGTCGCTGTGGGTTGCTCGGCGTTCCGAGAAAACACGCCGCCCAATTCCAGCTGTGCAGAACTCCCCGTGGGGAGAGTGCCTATACCAGGAGTCACAAAGGGGTGTCCAATGAAGTACCCCACACTACCTATAGGCTTCCAGACGGGGCACCCCTATAGGCTTCTCCCCTATATGCTTGTGAGTTCTTAGCATGGACATTTCAGGGTTTCTCGGCCTAGCTCTGCACTGACAAAGCTCATGCTGTCGGTCTGGCCCTTCTGCAGACGTCACTTCTGTAGGACTTGAAGGTCGCTGGGCCCATCCGTTCGGAGACCCAAGCGAACGAGGGAACTGGTGGTGCTGGCGCGGTGCAGCATGCTTTGTAGATCTCCAAACAGCAGAATATCTGCAGGTAGACAGATATCATCAGCATAAGAATCACTTCCATGCCCCCCCAATTAGTTGGATACTTCACACCCGTAGTGATGTGGAGTGTATTTGGAGAAAAAACGCAAGGCAGCTTGGTACGGTGGACAAGAACCCATGCCGCAGGCAAGACACTCTCCACGCAAATCCTTTTGGGGTCCAACCTCCTGCAGTGCAACTGCAGGGCGCTTCCGAGATGGGACCGGACACCTGCGTGCATCGAAACCGGAGTGCCGACTCTGCGGCTCGCACCTTCAAGGCCTCCCCACGAAGATCTTGCGACTCATGGTGCGGAAGTCCCCCTGCGGTGAAGGTGACGATGTCGGAATGGGATGACGGCGGATGATGGCTCCATGACATGTCCCTACAAGTCCAAGGGCCAAGTTAAAGGTCCTTGACCTCACAGAATACTGGTTTTGCATGACTGAACCCAGTCAAATGATGTCCTTGACCTGTAGGGTGTAAATACAGTGTTCTCAGTCTTCTGCCCAAGCCAATGGACTACCACTTGTTTTTTCCTTCACCAAATGGTCCTCATCCAAACCTCAATCATCCACCCCCTGCTGGTCTTTTTTCATCCACCTTGGATTTTTCATTTGCAGCTCCAAATGAATGGGACCAAACCCGCTTTCCGGGCACAATTTCACCAACTGATGGTCAGGGATAGAGTTGAACGATAGACTCTCACTTTTGGTGGATTCGGAGGACTTCCTGGGGGTTTCCATGATTCTCGCAGCACGTCACAGCCCTCCACGTGTTCTTTTCGCTTCGCGGTAGGCACCAACACCTTCGACCGATGGGAGATGCGGATCCACAAGCGTCTCATCGACTTGCACTCGCCCTCGGACGTCCGGTCCACACGGATGCGGGGTGAAAAGACGTGGGATGTTCGGAGGGGTGTATCAGTGTCCGACGAAAGCAGAGCACTGATACAGGTAGCTACTGCCCAGACGCTCCACACAGCCCGACCGGTCCCTCAAAACCTAAGATTTGAGACCCCAGACCCCTCTATATGAGGGTCCGACCCCTCCATATGAGGGTCCATGAGCGTCTGGGTTTTAGCCTGGTTTGGAGCCATGGCTTCGTGGTATGCGAGAGGGGCCTTCGAAGCAGTTTTCTGCTTCCTCAGCTCCGCAAGCCGTCGGGTCCCATTAAGTCAATTGGAGGATGGGAGGGATGGGGCTCGTCACAGTGACACCACCACCCTGCTGACATGCTGGACAGGCATTTCTGCCTATCATGTCTCTTGCTAGGGACAACCAGGTTTTTGATGGTTTGTGGGCCCCTCACCTGGTCTCCGAGTTGGTGGGACGTGTTTGAACGACCCCGAACGACGGTCGAGGTGTCTCGGTTTGGTCGACTCCAGGTGGTGAAGCAGATCACCTCCATCTCCATCGAGTGGGGCGGCCCAGATCCGAGGTCCGGAAGGTCCATTGGAAGGTCCGGACCAGAGACCATCGGACGTGGCCTGAATTCTAGGCGGCCCCACGAGTTCGGACGTGGAGTCTCGCCTTCGGAGTCAGCTCGATGTTTGGCATTTCGGGTCTCCGAGCCAAGTCGAACACGCGTCTGACCGGCCAGGAAGAAGAATGAACCAAACGCCCCAAGCTGCAGCTCATCTCGTTGCCGGACCAACGACGTTTGATGTCCGCGCGCTCTCGCGGCCGAGGTTCCCGCGAGCGAGCGATCCTAGGCTCCGGTCCATCTCCCTCCTTCCGACTGTTTGGGCCACCAAAGCTCTGGGAATTGGAGAATCCTCTGTGTAACATAGGGAGACCTCCTCTGCTCCAAGCTCCTGAGCGACCAAAGAGATAGAACCGTTCCTGTCTACCCAAACCCAGGCCAGGGGGGTGCAGACCCATTGAACTACACCGGGAGGGAATGAGCCTTCCTTTTGGCCCTTCCAAGGAACTTGTGAAGGCCGGTTGGCCAATGGAGTTCGAGTGAGCTCGTTCCACCCGTTCGTTGACCTAGTAGGTAGGTGTTCAGAAACCACGGCCAGGCCATACTTCCAGGCTTCTTGGCCCCACCATTGATGAACAACCGAGCTGTTCTACTGTTTTACTAACGATACTTGTACGACAGGTCACCACCAGGTCGTTCTTCTCACTCTTTGAGTGGCCTCTAGCAGCGGCCTACCAGCTACGACTTTGGTTTTCAGCTCTCCGCTGCGGCTTCGACTCTCCGCCATCGACTTGGCCGAGGCCTGGTGTGGAGGTCGTCGGGACGCTCAGTCGGCTATGCTTGACAGCTGCTGTCGGCGGGCGCGGTCCGCTCGTGTTGGGGGCGGACCATGTTGGAGGGTTCCGTGGTGCAACACGCGCCGTGAAGCGGTCGCGGTTGGTTGGTGCGGAAGGATCCCACCGACCTGGAGGGGGTCAGGCGAGGCTTCAGGCGAGGCGAGCGAACCGAAGCACGAGCGAACAGGACCGCAGAACGTGAGCTTCACGTTGGAGCGAAGCTGTCAACGTGGACGTGGCGAGGTCAACCAGGTCCACCCAGGTAGTCACCCAGGTCACCCCCCATCGACGCTCGTCCACGGCGGTGCAGGAGTGCAGGTCTCAAGAAGCGCCCCTCCCGAAGGGGCGTCGATGAATCGCCCTTTGTAGAGGTTAAAGGGGTCCATTCACCAGCCCCCTGAAATGGTCCTGATATACATGATCTATCTTCAACTTGCAACTATCCACGTGTTTTGGGGGCCCGAACTCCAACGGCCTCGGTTCGCGGGTGTTCGCCTGAGTGTTCGCCGGTCGCGTGGTGCGTCCGGGTCTCGGCCGGTGATGAGGAAGTGACCATTGCCGACCTGTGATGAAGTGAAGTTGCCGGCGTGTGGGAAAAGGTGTTTGGGGGAAAGCTCAGAGGTGCTGTTGGGGGCGGTGACAAACAGGGTTGGACATGGTTTGAAGATACATGTGTGGCAATGAACTTTGTATGGTTTGTTGATGTTTGATTCGCCAGGACCGCAGGCTCGTGAAAGGTCACTTGGAGACTCCAAAGAGGTCACGGACGGCTCAGGTCACGGACCATGTTCTTTTGTGTGCCCATGGTTTCATGCGTCGGGGTTTCTGTTTGATTCCGGAACTCCAGAAGACGACATGAGGAGGCTTACCTGCTGTCAAAGGGTCTTTTCGCAACTACCCCTCTAAGGTGGATGCCATCGTCATGGCATACCAGCCTGGAAACCCAGTCCCAACCAGAAACAACGTGAAAAGGAATGGACCATGGATGTTTCCCCAGTCCCAGCCACTTCTTATGTAAAGGATCTATAATTAAATATTGGAGCAACCATAAGTCTCTGGTTGGGACTTAGTTTCCAGGATGTCGATGAAGAGTTGGTTTTGTTGAGGAGCTTGCTTCGCCCCTTCCATTCCTTCGCGAAAGCAAAAGACCTGCAATTGCAGACTTCCTAATTCACTCCGCGACGCCTAAGGCATTAGGGTGGCTGGATCCTACCCTACTCTCGTCGCACAAGTCATTCCCTTCTTTTTTCTTTCCACCTGCCGCTCTGGCTGCCTTTTGGCGCCGCTGACCTGGGCCAACAGTGCCTTCCAAACATCACACGAAAAGTTGCTTCTTCGCCTTTGATCGATCCAACAAGATCCGCCATGTCGTGCAAGTGCATCGCAGCCATGAGTGGTGGAGCTCCTTTGAGCCTGCACACCATCGAACGTCGTGCAGTGGGCAACAAGGCGCGGTGACTTCGGGTCGCTCCGGGGAGTCGTGGTATCGGTGACTTCGGTGGTCGGATGTGGTAGGCCATTCGCAGCGCATGGCCCACGTGGTGTCGAGATGGTGCACTTGAAGTAGGATCCATCCCTTTTCGAACTCCACCATCCCTTGCCGAGCCCCACAGACGAAGCACACTTCAGAAGGCCACGACACCACAGAAACGACTCCTCCAAGCGATCGTGTGATGTCCAGGATGTGAAGATCACCATCAAGTACGCCGGCATCTGCCATTCGGACATCCACCAGGCGCGCGAGGAGTGGGGCAAGGGCCTCTTCCCCATGGTGCCGGGCCACGAGATCGCTGGAGAAGTGGAAGCCGTGGGCAAGGATGTCACGAAGTTCAAGGTCGGCGACAAGGCGCGCGGTGGGTGGCCGCCCAAAACGGGTGGTGTGGAGACGGAGGGGCTGGGGCTGTTGCAGGGATGGTGGCGACGGTGGTGATGGGAAGTTGGGTTGGGTGTCTCATTGGACGACTGGCTTAGGCAGCTTGAGGAGGAAGTTCATCCTCATTTGCGATCCCGTCAGCCCTGGCAGTAGTTGCTCCCCATGGTTTTCCCCCACCTCTTTCGTGCTGCGCGTGCCGCTCGCTAGGTGGGTGTGGGCTGCATGGTGGACTCCTGCCGCGATTGTTCCTCCTGCAAGGCGGGCGATGAGCAATACTGCGCCACCGGAGCTGTGATGACGTACAACGGCAAGTCCAAGTACAAGCATTGCGAGGAATACAACGAGGAGTCGAGTCCGGTTTTCGTTTCTTTCGTCTTATTTTTTCGTTTTCGGAGCCGAGCTGAGTGAGCCGAGCCTCCGCCTCTCACCGCACGTGGTTGGGCCTGTGATTTGTTGTTTTTCGAGCGGCTGTCGGAATCGATGGGTTGCTGACACGAGACTGCCGCGTGCGAGTCGAGTCGATGCTCGGAAAAGTTTGGAGGGACTCAGAGAGGCACCAAGAATTCCTTTAGGAATTAATTTGATATTTTTTCATTTAACACTTAAACATATCCCAAAACAACATCGAATTGGATGTGTTGTGACTCGGCCAATCCGCGACTGGACATACCAGCCTGAAACACAGCCTCAGCTCGAGGGATGGAGGGATCTACAGCACATCTCTGGAGATGTTCCACGCATTTTCTCTTTGGATGAGGCCATCGCTCGCTCTTAGGGCGTGTCGCATGATATACCATCCGAAATCGGCAGGATGGTGGCGCTCCAACCTATGGCGGCTACTCTCAGTGTGTGGTGGTGGATGAGAACTACATTTGCAAAATCCCCGATGGTATGGACATGGCGGGTGCCGCCCCACTGCTGTGTGTGACTCGGAGTTCGTTTTCGTTTCGCCATAAAAGGCGTGGGATGGCGTGAAGTGGATGGAACTAGATATGTTAGGCATGTGGACGTCTTTCTTCCGCCCCGATCGGACCCCGAAGAGTTCCCGCACTTTTGCGGAATCCATCTGGTTCTTCTGGCCATGAATCATCCCCAAGGCGGGCATCACCGTGTACTCGCCCATGATGTACTTTGGCGGCTCGGTGCGTGTTTCGGAGCGCCGAACCGGCGGAGACCGGTCGTCCGGCTCGATCCGGGGCCCCCTCCGGACGAGCCGCGACGAACGACCTTCGGTCGGCGGCGGAGGCTTGAAGCCTGGGATGAAGATGGCCGTGGCGGGGCTCGGCGGCTTGGGTGCCATGGCGGTGCTCATTGGAAAGGCCATGGGCGCCGAGGCCGGCGGTTGGGGGGTTGGGTGGTAGGGAAGGAAAGTGTGCCAGGGGCAGGAGTGGTGGCAAAGGCCTTAGTTCTTGCAGTCTTTTTGTGTTTGGGGAGAGTTTGACCAGTGAGTTGCACCGCACCAAATCCAGAGTTTGGGAGGTGGACTGCCAGCCCAGTTTTTTCCCCATACAACTCCGTCACGTCACACGGTGATGCCTTTTGATCCTTGTAGCAGCTCAACCTATAGCGATCCTTCCGAACAGAACGCACCGGCTCCCACACCAGCCCCGTCCGCAAGCCGCAGATCATCCTAATAAACGGTCCGCTCCATTTCCGCAGAAAGGTTGTTTTATGTTGTGAAGTCTTATTGTTACTAAGTAGTAAGGCACTTGTTACTAGTAGCTTCCTACCCCCCCTTGTCTTATGTTGTCTTCAATTGTCCTTCTATAAATTTCACCCTTGGTTGATTCGCGACACTGATTGCAAACATAACACCGTGCAAAAGTGACTGCTGCTATTGGCTGCTATATTATATTTTGTGGAGATTCCGCCGCTAAGATTTTAGTGTTGGCGCTTTACTCCATGGACTAGTATCAACAAGAATTTCAAAATACACTCCCTGTAATCATCCTGGAAGTAGACAATGAACCTTTCAGATGACCATTTTCCACATACCAAACCGGTGGCTTTCCACTTCCATGATGCGGCGACCAACGAGTGTAGACCAGTGAGCTGACGACCAACGACTCGCAGGTCACCGTGCTCTCGCGCAGCGAGAGCAAACGGGATGAGGCGCTCAAGGAACTGAAGGCAGTGCCGTGGCGGAAAGAGGTGAGGCACTTGGACTCCCTTTTTTGCGATGCACCTCCTCCAACCTAGTAGCTTAGAAGCTACTAATAGGGATCAGCAATTCCTGAATCCATTTACTGGAATGGATTCCTCTCTGGCAGGGGCTCATCTGGACTTGCTCGAGACGTCGTTGTCCCAAAAAACGGCCTTTCAACCGAAAGGTGCTCTTCTCAAGGACACCAACCACCAGATTTCCATGTGCCTACTAACTTAAACAAACAGAGCAAGGCTGCATCTTCCGATTTGCCAATGCATCTCTTCGGCTGCCTTCACGTTGTTCATGCCGGTACCGACGGCGGGGCAAGTTCGTCTGGGTGTCTGGGTCGCCCAAGGACAACTTTGTGATCACCAGCAACGAGGCGTGCAACGTCTGCGCGCCGAGAAGCTGGGTCGCGCACCATTTGTATGTGCCGGAATTCATGGTTCATGAGTCGAAACTAGTACAGTAAACTGTAAACCAATGGAAGCCAGGAAGCCAGTGGTATCAGAATTGTGTTTGTGGGTTTTCCTTTCATGTGCATGTGTCCGAGGTTGTAGTTTGTCATGCCGCGAAATCGCGTTTGGTTTGTGGCAGGCAGAGGTTGCTGCTGCGAGTGGCAAGTTCGAGTTCATGCTGCTGGGCAGAGTTTTGCTGCGGTTTGGAGTCGGAGTCGAATGAATGTAGTTGGGGAGAGGCTCGGACCTGTGTCGGTGTCTGGTTTGGACAGATTTTGAGGTCTGGAAAGCTTCAAGCTAGACTCACTTGGCTTGACAATTTGTGCAAAGACCCTATAGAATGCTTGTGTGTTGTCTTTGAATGTTTGTGTGTTGTCTTTTTTGTTGTTTTGCAAGCACACTGTTGGTCTCATCTCTGATTTGCTACCGGTTGTTTGGCTTCAGCATTGAACCGGGGTATGCTTCACACTTTTTCCTTGTGCCACCTTTAGAACTGTAGTGGCCTCCAAATAGAATACAACAGTGAATTCCCCTCTTTCTGAACATTTCACAGCCATTTCTCCTTATAGTTTTTCACTTCAAGCCAAGGATCCTTGTTTTCCGTCGGTCCCGGCCGTGCCAAACGGAGAGAGACCCGAAACCGCTCGCCTGCGGCCTCGCGGTCCAAGTCTCAACACTATCAGTGCCCTCTACGAGCCCCAGCTCTACTTGGGCATGTTGGCCAAGCACGGGAAGATGGTCTTGGTCGGTGCTCCGGCGGAGCCCATGTTTTTGCAGGCCTTCCAGCTGATCCCCGGACGTGCCGAGGCACAAGAAAAGCGAGGTTGGGAGTGCTAAAAAAGGGGGGGTTTCTGGAAGACCGGGTTGGGCGGGTTTTGGGAATGTGTTGTTTTGCCTCTATAGGGTTAAATCCCCTTTCTGGGGAATATTTCAAGACGTTTTTCAGGTTCACCAAATCGAAAAGGGTGGATGGTTCTGGTGTGGGAGAAGGCGAGTACGAGATGTCACCTGGTCTGAGAGGTGCCTCATTTCAGAGGCCGCACGCCTCGAAAACCCGCTGCCTTTCCCGGTCGAGAATTGTCGAGGCCAAAGCAGAGAGAGAGAGAGAGATTTCCACCGAGAGTCTCTAGTAGGAGTATGCCACGTTTTTTTGTCGGTTTCTACCGGAAATCATCTCAGAACCTCTCGAAACGGAACCCATCCTGAAAAGCCCTCTAACATCACCATCAGCTTCGCTGCTTTGTGAACTCCCGAATGGTCTCATTTTTGGAGCCGAGACTCAAATGGACGAATCGAACGGACCGACGAACACGGACGGGTCGTCGGACACGGAGAGTCCACCATTTCTCCGCCAAAAGCCCCGGCCCCGTGGCACACACTCCGTGTCCAACGCGTCGGTCGAACGCGGAGGTCGAACGGCCGGCGGCGACCGCGCTTCGCGCTGAGGTAAGACCATCTCTGGCTCGCTGATTGGTGGCATCCGGGAGACCCAGGAGCCTCCCGCCGCCATGTCCACCTCTCCGTGGTATTTGGGGTGGTCAAGCCGGTTGCCTGGAGTGGCGGTTAAGACGCGACTGCAAAGCTGGAGGCTGAAGGGGTGAAACGAGAGGCTGAAGGCTTTCGTGGAGCTTCGGGCTAGTTGTTGGTTTTCTCGCATGTGGGTGTGAGCTGAGATACCAAAAAGGTGCATCTGACAGAGACCGGCGGTATTTGCTTGACTTAGGCCGGGGTGCATTGCTTCCCCGGCGCCGTCAGATAGTGTCTGAGTTTCTGTGTTTGGAGGGGAGCATGACATGCTTGATGGTCTTCTGCATATCTTGATGGTTGGTACATTTATTATGTCTGTATGATCTTGATGGTAGCCGCGGTGACAAAACAAGAACAGTGCCAAGCAGCATCTCCTTGCATCAACAGCTTGGGTAGGTTCTTGGCTTCCTTTCCCTAACATCCATCTCTTGATCTGATCCAATTCCATTCGACTTCAGATTCTGACCCAACTTCCCGAGCCTCCGTGGCCACGGTGGCAGGAGATGCTGGACTTCTGCGCGAAGCATGGGATCACCTGCCCACACGAATTGATCCCCGCGGACCCCGCGAAGGTCAACGAAGCCTACGAGCGGGCGGTGAAGTCTGATGTGAAGTACAGGTGCGGACGTCGAGTGGCAGGAGATGCTTGGGGGGTCCTTGGGGGTTCTGTTCTCGTTCCGGGAGACCTTGGCCCATTCTGAGAAAGGTTTTCGGACTTGAATTTGGAATGGAGGGGGAGTGCCTTTGGGCTCTAGTGCCCGCAAAATCACGCATACAGGTACCCCTAATTCATGAGGCGGACTTCGCAGGGTCCGGACCTGCATCGCCAGAGTGGTCGAGACTCCATCGGAGAGAAGAAGTCGAACACAACGAGTGCTCGACTGCGATCGGTTTTACGGGTGGTCTTCGGGTTTGAAGAGTAGAGAGTCAGATTCTAGAAGTCTAGTAGTTAGAGTAGAGAGCAGTAGTAGAGTCTTGTAATTAGTTTGATTCCAGATGTCTTTGTTTGGGCCTCTAGAAAGATGTCTTCCCAGACTCTTCCTCCTCTTTCTGGGGACTCTCAGTGGAGGCAACTGGGATCATGGCGTTGAGAATAACTCACCTTGAGAAGTACATCTCAGCAACGCTTGAAGATGAAAGTAGAGGTAATAGGAGATGAACATACAATATGATATAATAACATACTTCATATCTTCTCAGGGATGTTGAGAAAGCACATTCTTCGAGGCCCATGCACTGCTCATTTCTGGGTCACTGTGCGCCAGGTTTGTGATCGACACCAGCACTTTCGCGTGAGGCAAGGGTGCGCTCGTTCTCTCTCCTGTCCAAACTTGAGCATTCCCACCTGGCCCATTGCTTCTTAAAGAAGTCAGGTAGGGATTCTGTAAAGCCAGTGCCGGCGTACCGCTTGGGCACGCCTCTTTAGGCACCTTTTGCCGAATCGATTTTCGGTGACCTGCGAGTTGGCCTCCCAAAGCGCGGCTCGGGCCGAATGTCGCAGAGTCAGAGAACAGACGAAGCGGGGAAGAGGAAATGCGGTCGCTGGGCCTCCAGAGGGGTATGGGGCAAGCAGCGTCCGATCGCTCCGTTCGTAGCGATGCCAGGAGCCCCTAGTCGCGTCCTTGCTACTAGTAGCGATGCCCTTTGTTACTAGTAGCGTGGGGGGCAAGTAGAGTTGTGTGAAATGGTTCGGTGTGGCTCCGGATGTTTCTTGTTCGCATCTGCCTAGGTCCACCTCCCAAAAACAGCGGGTCCACACGGCTTCTTTCAGAATCTCCCTGGATTTGGTGAAGCTGTCAGCTGTCAGCTGTCAGCTGTTAGCTGTCAGCTGTTAGCTCAAGCGATTCCGTAACGAAGTGAGACCTTTCAGACGGGCGAAGTTCTTCTCCATGGATGACATGTCACATTCCTGGAGAGGACGTTTCTTCGGCCTGATGCTGCAGGGGTTCGGACTGCTCAACCTGCTCAACAAGCTGCTTTACCAACGAATCCTCATCTGGGTGTTAGTGAAACAACATCACATGGCAGTTAAAACCGTGGTCGGTTGACCGACACCCAGTACCTTTGTTCTGTTCATTTTCTCTCCACAGTCATCCGACTGACCTCGGGTCTCCACCGGGTCTCCACCTGGGCCGCCCGGTCCTCCGAACTGGCTCCCTCCCAAATCTGGCTCCGTCTGAGTGCCTCCCATTTCTGGCTCCGCAAGCGGGGACGCCAAAAGCATGGCAAGTTCCGGGCTGTTTGGTTCAGCACTTGGCCCAGCGATTTCGGTCATGGAGAACTACAGTTGAAGGATGGTCCCCTGAAAGAGATCGTCAGAGGCTTCTCAACCACCCAAGCAAAACAAGAGACTTCCAGTTCCTTCTCCCAAGTCCAGGCCGCCCAGGCCGCCCAGACCTCCAGGCATCGATCTGAAAGGCTCTCTACCGATGCCCCAAAGCCAACCTCCCTGGTAGCGCCTTATGGCGCATACAGTTTCTTGGGTAGCGCCGTTGGGGTGCTCTGGAGCCTCTCCACCAAGAACTGCCAGGACCCACAAGGGCTTAGGTAGAGCTTTCGTGCATTTGTTTCTTTCACTTCCTTTCTCCGGCGGTGGCCAGCCATGGAAAGCACCCATGCTTGGCTAGTGTGGGCCTTGATCCAAACCCGTTGGCGACGTGAAAACCGTGATCCGGTTTCAGCCGTTACACGGGGACACAGGGCATGATGTTCCTTCCAAAACAGGACGAAGGCGAGGAGTTTGGGTGTCCTGGCCATTTTCACCTCTCACACATCTTGTTCTTTTTTTCTTTTTTTTCCGCATCCTTGTCTCCGGCAAAGCCGAGGAAGAACGCATGAAGGAACTGAAGAAAAGATGTCAAGAGATGGAGGCACCGCGCGCTCGTCCCTCGTCCGGTCCTGAAGGTCCTGGAGGTGCTCCTTATAACGTTTCGTTCCCATTGAGTTGCTTTGCTGGGTGAACCGGACCGGTGAAGCGATTTTGGTGTGGGACCGGGTGCCGAAAGAGCGGAACGGCAGGGAGGGACAGTGACGTGTGACGAGTTGGCGTTTTGGCTTTTGGGGCATTTGTTGGAGATTTGGATCCACGGGTTCTTTGTGTCTGGCTATCTGTACTGGTTGGAGAAACCTTGTGTTTTTTTTTCCCATCAGCAGTCAAGAGTTTAGTCCAGAACAAGTGAATCTGCGGCCATCATTCCAAAGGAAGGCTTGTGGAAAGCGAGCTCCTGGTGGTACGCCTGACATTCGGAGATCTGCCTTCTTTCCAATTCCTTTGAAGATTCTGAAGGCCATGACTAGACTCTGATGGGTTCATGTTGTTTTTGGCCCGGGAAGATTTCTAAACCACTGGTCAAAGGGAATGTGGGCGAGCCGCTAATGCATCCATTGATCAAGGGCTCAACTGTCCCCAGACTGACTGCGCCATCAGGCCGAGCTGAAGAAGCTAGGCGAGGTGTTTGGCCTAGAGGGTCATGTGGTTCTCTGGAAAGCAGTCCCCTAGAGGTCGATTTGACCTCATTTGGCAGTGGGGTTGATCATACACAAACGCAACTCTGACTCTTACTGGGGGTTTTCAGGTCGTTCTTTGGTCGATGGCTCGTCCTCCTCGTTTTTCCACGCTGGCATTCGAAAGCAACTCAACAGCCCAGTTTTGGGACCGGCACTTGGCACTTCCTACTGCCTTTTCAGGCAGTGTGAGCCCTGAAAAGCATTTGGAGGCAGCTGAGGCCATCCAGGCGGGGAGAGAGTTCATCTCATCCGCTCGGCCGAGTTCGGATCGGGGGCCTTGACTGGTGAAAACCGCGTTGGGCTCTTTGTTGCCCAAGGCACTTGGGTGGCCTTGGTCTACCTTTTTGGGAGAAGTAGGGCCCTACTACTGGGCATTCGCTTTAATAGAAGTTTCTACCCATCGGTAGATGGAAAGCACTTGCTGAGGCAAAGATCAAAGAGGAGAAGAAGCAAACCTCCCGGCTCCAGCGGCAACAGATGGAGGCGGCCTCACCAACCGCCCGACTGCACCGACCTCCGGCCGTTCCGTGGTTTTTTGCACCGACTTGGGGACAGGTTCAACGTGTGGGGGAAGTGGAAGAAACACTGACCCGTTTTTGATGCACTTCCATGAAAGTCATTGCTGTTTGGATTTGTGATGGGCTCTCTTGCTTTTTTCCCAGGGACCTATGTAATGCAATATGGGAATGAAACGCGGCGGCGGGAACCCTTTCAAAGGCTAGCTGTGATACCTGCCAGGCCCGAAGAGGTCTCACAATCCATGTTAGGTCGATTTTTCTTGTAGTATGTGCCTTTTTTGGGGGATGCTGTGAAACCAGACATGAATTGTACAATATATCACGAGTTCGACCGGGTCGAATCGCGATTTGTGTGATCTTTCTGCGGCAGGAGTTCAAGGAGCTGCACGCCGCGCGGCTCCACGAAGAGGAGTTGACCCGGCAGAAGCGGGAGATCTTCGCAGAGATGGAGGTGGAATGCCTCGGGAGTTATTTTTTTTTTTAGAATCACTACTAGTAACAAGCGCACTGCTACTAGTAACAAGTGCATCGCTACTAGTAACAATTGTTACTAGCAGCTTCTGGTTCTGCCTTGGGGAGGATTTGAACTCCCGGACATGACCAGTCGATGTCGAAAGAAATGACCCAGTGATGAACATGTTTTTTTTCTTTTTTTGTGTGGTGGAGATTGCCAAGTCTGCCCTCGGTCCGGATGTCTTTCCCCTTTTTGGTCGGGGCCAGTTTCTTTGCTTTCACCGATGCGAGGGATTGTGGCCGCCAGAGAGGTGGAGTGATATGCTTTTCGGGTGGTTTCTACAAATGAATGAGTAGGGAATTGGGATTATCTAAAATTTATGCTGTCTAGGGAGACAGAGGCTACAACTCAAGGCTGCCTCTCGCAAGCTGTCTCGCAAGCTGTCTCGCTGCTGTCCCGCAGGCGACGAAGCGCCAGTTGCAGGAGACGCAGTGGGAGGCCACCTCGTGGGATGGTGCTGCGTCTTCCACGAAAGACGGTGGGGTTAGAAGACTGCCTCGGTTGGGGAGGTTGTTGGATGGCGCCATAGGAATAGAAGGACCAGACAAGTTACACAAGAATACAGGTCCCAAAAGACATCATGGAACTTCAACAACCACCGCTTCGCTGGGGCATATTTTTGAATTCAGGGAACTCCACATCATCTATACGTTTTCCAAAGAACTCGCACCCTTCGCCGTTCGCCCCTGGGCCGCTCGCCGGCAAGCACCTGCTGTTCGTGGCTGTTTGCGGAGGCGGAGCGGCAAGAGCAGCTGCAGAGTGCCTTCCACGAGCGCCTGCAGAGTGAGCGGCTGCAGCTGCGACGCAAGGACGGGAACAGCGACTGCGGACGACGTGATGGGAACGGCGCGATGCGGATGGCGCAGCTGCCAGTTGGGTTTGTTTGTTGGAGCAACAGGAGTTTTGGGAGATACAGTGGATTGAGAGGACCAATGGCACAGACCCAATGTCGGTGGTTGATATGAAGCCCGATGTAAAGGACATCTTTTTGGGGTGCCAGTGCCATCTACTCTGGAACCACTGTAAAGGACAGGGCATGCCCCATGGGAATTCCATGGAACCATGGGATTTAGTTGCGGAATCCTAGGTGTAGTGCTTTTGAATCAGGAAAGAGGGGGTGCTTCCTTCGCCCCCCAAAGGCGTTCACCAAAAGGTGCCGTTG